AACAACACAATACACATTCTTTTCCAGTGCCCAAGGAACATTGTCCAGAATAGACCATGTTTTAGGCCACAAAACAAATCTACATAAATTAACAAATATCAAAATACTACAAAGCATTTTCTCAGATCACAATGCTATCAAATTAGAAATCAACAATAGGAAGACCAAGGAAACCAAGTCAAATACATGGAAACTGAATAACACCCTGCTGAAAAGCCACTGGGTAGTAGAAGAATTCACAAAGTTCCTAGAAATAAATGAGAACGAAAACACAACATACCAAAATCTTTGGGACATGGCGAAAGTGGTGCTGAGAGGAAAGACCACTAGGGGAAGTGAGGATGGTAAGAGGGAGTTCTGCAACCAAGCAGAAAGATGTAACTATCTCAATTAATTGTCTAGGAAAGAGGAAAGCCCTGTCCCAGTACCAGTAATAGTGAGGACCAATAGAATTTAAAGTAGTTAAACACTAGCCAGAGCCCTGCTGCCCATCTGAATGTGGGAGCGGAAGCAGAGGGAGGAGTCCCGGATGGCTCCTGGATTAGGCTCTCAAGGTCAGTTCTCTTCCTGAAGGATGCCCATCCCTCCTTCCATTCTCCAGTAAGAAAAAGACCATCACAATGCCTTTTTAAGTTCTATTAAAGTTTAATCGAACAAGTTATACACATTTTTGTTTACCCTGGTATAAAAATACAGCTGATGATTTGACAAAAATGGCTCCACCTAGGACTTCAAGGTTTGAGTTTCTCCAGCAGTAACAAGGGGAAAGCATGCTTCCAGCTGAAGCTGAATCCAAGCACACAGCCCTTCCTGGACACGCACATGTGCAAACAGAAAGCCCAAGTAGGTAAAGAGGAATGATGTCATAGGAATTTGGGAAGAAGCCCAAAGTTACTCCCAGGAGAAAATGAGAAAATACAGGCAAGTATCCTTAGGAGGGGGTAGGATAACTAATTTACATTTACCATTTGTTATTTTTAAAAATAATGATAAGTTATGTCAGCAATTTTAACATTTTAGAAAATATGCTACTGACCTTCTTTCACCAAGGTGAAATAAAGCTGAAGGAAAAGGGAGAAAAAACAAAAAAAAGATTAAAATACCTAAGTGTGAGGATTAAACCCTCAAAATTCAAAATGGCTCTTAAAAGTTTTGTGTCAAAGGGTTCATTTTTTATATTCAATGAAAAAACATTTAGAGAGTAGGAGCTATAGGAAGTCGGCTCCATTTTGTTAGCTTCACAGACATGGAGACCAGTTTGTTAGCAGACCTTCCCACAGTGAGAGAGTTCCTTTCAGTGTAGGCAGAGCATGGTTTCATGGTCGTTCTGGACAATTCCTTAGTACGCCTTTCCTGCTGCTCTCGTTCCAGAACATTAACTTTGATGAAAGAAGGGGAACATCCATATTACAACTCATCTTCAAGATGTTTCTCTTTGAAGGCATCACCTGTCAGCCTCTCCTGAGCTTCCTTCATTCCTTGAACAACTGTGAAATAAAGGTTGGGGAAACAATATGAAGTAGGTCATAAATATATGGCATCTGATGAGCAATGTAGATTCTTAAATGTTTAAGAGGAGCACAAGATCCAGACTCTAGATCTAGTTCTGGATTTTAGCCCTGCCAAGTCATTTACCTCTTTGAATTTGTTTCCTCATTTATAAAATTTTAATGTTGCTTAATTCATACAGAAATATTATAAAAGTTTAATGGTAATAAAAGCACTTTATAAACCATGAAGTCCAACAAAAATGTTAGTGTAACTGGCTTGCCGTCTAAGATTAGAGTTGATTTCTTGTCACAGACTACAGTTGTGATTCACATGCCACTAACAGAAGAGAGAACACCTTCCTACTATCCACATTATGTTTTTTGGATGGCACTTACATCATTTCCTATGGAGATTACAAGTTGCATTGGGGAATGATGATGGTGTGTGTGTGTGTGTGTGTGTTTTTTGGGGTGGGGGGGAGACAGTCTCCACTTAAAGGGGTAGTCATTTCCAATACAACCACGCATAGAAGAAGAAACATCTCAGGCAAAAAAGACAGAGAAAGCTTTAAGTAGATAGAGCCTTAGGCAGCCTAGAGATGAAACTTCTTGTCTATCTCCAGGTCTAAGGAGGACAGCTATGTAGGCATAGGCTCCTGAGTGGTGATTCTACACGAGCATCCTTAGTACAATGACAGACCAGGAGCTGGGCTGAATCAGCCAGAAAATATAGTTTATTAGTTCCCTTTTGTTTTCCTTAAGCCTCTAGTAAAGTCAGGTGTGAAGGCTCAGTTTCATGTCAGCTGAGCCATAAAGAATTCAGAAAGAGCTTGTATCCACATTTGGACCAATGTGGTAAAGGATACCAATGTGAAGTTTAAAGTATTAACTAACTAAACGAAATCTTAAAGGGAAAGTAAATTACAAGGGATGAGAGTTGGGGAACTAAAGTCCAGTTGCTCTTCTCCATTTAGAAAATTTCCCTCTAGTATCAATCTCAGTGGAAGGAGGCAATAACCTCCCCAAATCCTGTCTGCTTCCCTTCCCTATCTTAAGAAGTAAGAATCCCAAGGACTCAAAATATAAAGTGATCAACTTGGCAGTGTTGGGGGCATAAAAGGGGATAGGAAGGTAGACATATGACAACTTAGCAATTTCCTTTTATAGGTAGGTGGAGGGTTGGGGCACTGTGCAAGGAAAAAAATAACAATCCATGGCTTGCATTCCAACCCTTGCCTAGAACGAGTGTGATTAGAGATTAGGAAAGCAAAGTTGATTTCAACCTTCCTTCACCTATTTGTGCTGAAGCTCTTCTCTCTCTCTGCCTTGACCATGTTCTCACCTCCTTTTGTTGGCTGGATTTCATTCTCTCTGATTCAACTCAGTTAGCATCTCCGCTAGCAAGCCTTAATGGACTCTGCATATTCAGACACATACCCCTTTTTCCCAATTCCACAGCTTGAAATATCTTCTTCATATTTCTTTATGTCTATAGACACAAATTCATATCCTTCCAGATACAGTTAAGGCTTAATATCTAAGAAAACTGAAGATATGCTCAGCTAACAGTATCCCCCTTCCTCTGAATTCTTACATTAAGTGTAGTATTAATGCAATAGAAGGTAGGAGGGGAAGACAAAAACAAACAAATACATTCTGGACTCAAATCCTGGCTCTGTGACTTATTAACTGGGGACCACAGGTAGCAAGTGATTACCTCTGTGAGTTTCAGTTCTTCATAGTTTCCTATGGGTCCAACTGGATTGTTAAACACTAGGGGACGGGGTTCAGTCTTATATTTCTCCTATATCCTACACAAGATCTACCCAAGAGCTAGTCACACAAAAGATGCTGAGTGAACATGTTGAATTGAGTTTCCTAACAAAGAACTGGCATGTGGTTCATACTATTTAAATTTACCAGTTAACCTGTCTCTCAATACTATACCTTGCTCTGCATTGATGTAGAAATACTTGTAGCTGGGGTTTCCACTCTCATTGATGATTTCCGGGTGCACCTTGCCACTGGGATCTATTGCACACAAAATGTCACAGGTGTTGTCATTACAGCAGAGGCTCTTCAAACACTACATGGTATTCTAGGCCCTCTGAATATGGGGCCTGCCCATCTTTGCAGCTCAGCATCTCACCATTGCCTACCCATTTTTACACTTCATTACAATGAATTCCTTGCAGTTCCCTGCAAGTATGCTCCTATGCCTTGGCACATGCCATCTCCTCTCACTGGCACATAGCTACTTTTCTGCCTGATGATGGCAGGACCCTACATCGATGCTGTAGGATAAGCACTAGACCACAAGGTCGATTTGAACTGCAAAGGCAGTGGTTCAAACTCACCAGTTGCTCCTCAGAAACCCTATACAGTGTTGCTATGGGTTGAAATTGACTCAACAGAACGTAACAATAACACAGAATCTAGCAGAATGCTGGGCAAAGACTGAGGAACTGTGCAAAAAAGGCATTTGTCTGGTTATACTATTCCATGGTTTAAATCTCTTTCTTATATTGTCTCAGCCCAACTATGAGGTCAAGCATGGAAACTATAGTTTATCTAGGTCCCTGCAGCACCTAATAGCGTGCTTGGCATACAGCTGATGCTTAAATAATTGCTGAATGAATAAATGGATTAATTAGTCCTCTTGTCATTGATCACAGAAGTTATTAGTTAACGGCAAAAGTTTCCCTTCAAACTTGCAGTTCTGGTATTCAGAGTTCTCCCACTCTCTCCTGAAACTTATTATTGGGGGGATGGCATCCCATTATAATCTTACTAGGTAAAGTCAGTGCCTTAATTATTTCTCTCTTCTTCTACACCATAGATACCCAGATTATGATCTTGCACCTTACCCAGGAAAAGGATTCGTGGAATATAACCCCCATCTGGGCTGAAATCTTCATCCTTTGGTTCCTCATCATCCTATTAAGATTAAATGGAAAGGGCAACTTAGACTTCAGTTATCAAAATTGGGAGGATATAAAGACATAAAGTATCTGGCTTACAAGCTTTCATGAGGGGCTCAGGGTCAGAAGAAGGAGGGTAAGATAGAATCTCCACTGAATAGTTTTCCTCTTGTTCAGATGGGTCTGGTGAAGATGGGGATAGGATTTAGCATTCAATTGTAATTGTTATCAGGACTAATGGCAACTGTCACAACTGTAAATATAGAAGAGATGTAACTAAAAGGTGGGAGAAGTTAATCTGTTATTTTCAGGAACAGAGGGCACTAAGACCAAAAGGGAAGAGCATGAGAGGAGCGAGGGACCCTGACCAGAAAAGCAGCTCCATCCGAGATAGCGGCAGATGGGATGGCATAGAGAAACAGAGCAGCAGAGGACTGTTGGCCCATGGACTGAGAAAGCCTGCAGGCAGAAGGTTGGCTTTGGCTTCCAAAATGTGCCCTTCATACATTTAAATGAATATATACTTTCAATATGGTATGCATACATTAAAAACAAAACAAAACAAAACAAAAAAACAGGTAACAATAGGCGATTACTGTTAATTGATAGTGCATGGAGGAGAATGTAATCGTTGCAATGGTTTGTTGGATGCAAAATTGATGATTTGCCCTGTAAACCTTCACTCACTCAATTCACAATAAAAGCTTTAAAAGAAAAAAATGAAATCTAAGCCAGATCATGTTCTTCCCTGGATCAAAACCTTTCAGAGGCTTCCCAGGTCACGCAAAGTAAAAACCCCAACTCCTTGCAGTGGCCTATAAGGCTCTACATGTTCTGCTACCTGGGGAGTTCTCTAACATTATGTCCTACCACTCTCCCCTTCTTCTGCCTTCAGTTCTTTTCAGGCACATTAACCTATTTGATATTACTGTCATTAAACCAGCCAAGCGTGCTCCTAACTTGTTCCTCCCTTAGCCTAGACACAGCTCCCCCGTTAACAACATGGCTTACTCCATTATCTGCTTTCGATCTTTACTGAAATGTCACTTTCTTTATGGAACACCTAGTTAAAATTGCAAACAGATTTCTCACCCCTTCATTTTTAGGCATGGTACATATTTATCACCAATACTTTTTGGGTTTATTTTTTTACTTATTTATCTGTCTCCCCACACTACACTATAATCTCATCGAGGACAAGGAATTTTGCTTGCTGTATTCCCAGAGCCCATATCACCGATGTGCACATAGTAATTCATAAATGCATGAGTTGCTGAAAATGACATTTTAAACTACAATTATTTACCTATAATTAAGGAGCTCTGGTCCACCACTCGTCCGTCAGTTTGTTGTACTGTGGTGGCTTGTGAGTTGCTGTGAATCTGAAAGCTATGCCACCAGTATTTTAAATACTAGTAAGGTCACCCATGGTGGACAGGTTTCAGATGAGCTTGAGCTTCCAGACCAAGACAGACTAGGAAGAAGGAGTGACGAGCTACTTCTGAATATTTAGTCACTGAAAACCTTATGAATAGCAGAGAAACAC